GTTCCTTGCAGTAAGGGGGTGGCTCTTCATGCTTTGCCAGCAGAGCTTAGTGAAGATGCAAGCGGAGGGGTGCTGAGTGTGCAGAATTGTTCCTGTGGTGCCCTGCCAAAAGTCCCTGCACTAGGTGGAACAGGCGTCTTGTGACTTTCCAACAGTTTCACAACGCAGAGCAAGAAGATGCTGTTCTTTCCATACCCATTCTGCATATTCAGACATTTCCATTAGTATCCTTCCTCACCGGGAGAAAATTTTGCTGTAGGATAGGAAATGGTGAACTGAGGTAGCAGTGAGAGGAGAGAAGGAAACAACTTGTCACAAAGTTTTTGCAATGCCTGTCCAAAAAGCAATCTTCTGTGAAGATAATTTCCTACCGTCAAATTCCCCTCAATACTCAGACCAGGAGCCCTGAGCTGGCAATCTGATGGCTACTTCCATATGAGCACATAGAGGATTTAAGCACATGCACCAGGTGCTGTCCTTCACCCTGGAACATTCTCTCTGCAGCAGTGTTCAGGCTTCAGAGCCAGCATCTTATGAGAGTGGATTGAGCTCAGCTCCCACTGCGATGCTGAAAATCTCATCCTCCTGTTTTTAAACAACCGCCTCTTGAGGATTACATACATCACAAAATGGCAGTCATGAAAACCTACACCATATATACTTTCATTGGTTGGTTGCTTTTGTTTCTAATAGTAGTTCAGACTATTACTGTGTTTATTAAATTTCTCAGTTCAAACAAATGCAATTCTTTTTCTGCCAATTCAGAGTGAAACACAGCCACAAAACCAGCACCAGAATATCTGGTGTTTTGCTCTTCACACTGGTAACATAATGTTTCTGTGCTGGTTTAATTTCTGCTGCTCCATGTATTAAAATACATTGATTTCAACAGGGAAAAAAAAGTGGAAAAAATTGTTTTTTCTAGAGGCTGTAAAAGTTAAGGGAGGAAACGTCAATAGGGCTCCATTTCAGGGAGTTACAGACAGCTGGACTGTATTTATGCTGTAGTAGGAGCAGCCACTGGGCTCTGTGCAAGCTGGGATCTGACTGAGGCTATTCAGCCTCCAGGATTTTTGGGCCACAGCTGTATGGCAACTTCTCAAATATTTATTTTTTTTCTTCAGTTTCCAAAGCTGTTCCTAAAAAGGCATTTGAAAATGGGAATAGGTAGCAACTAGTCTCAGAAGTCAGAGGAGACAAGCAAGTGGGCTCTCTTTATATAGAGGGAGATAAGGACAGACCAAAAACCTGTGCTATCTGTCAAACACTGGCACATTCTAATATGTTGGCCACTTAGAGTGGGGTTGTTTCCCAGAAAAACTCTGTTCTGTCTCAATTAATCACCTACTGCATCTCTAGGTCACTGTTGTACCTAGTTCTGCAACCAGGAATGGCTAGGGCTGGCTCTGGAAAAGCAAGATACCATAACCCACTTTATTGCCTGAATGAGGGCTACACAGAGCTTGCCATGCCAACTAGTCATTTGAGCTGTGTTGCAGATCAGAAGTGGCAGGGAGACTGGAATTGTTCTGAACTGGCCTGGTCTGTCCATCCACAAGAGCTTTTGCTTGGGAGAAACTTTGCTGCTGCTTGCTCGGTTGCTTCTCTGGTTTGGAAATGCTCTAAGTGGTGCAAAGCAAAAGACAGACAGCTGTGCTGCACAGCATGTGCTATCAGGGTGCCCTGATCACACATGTAAGGAGCAAATCTCTGTTGTAATTTTTTTTTTTCCAAACAGATCTGACACTCGTATCCCTTCTGCATACCTAATGTTCTCCTAGGCCTGGACACAAATGCCATGGTGGTCTATGTAGTCTATTTAAGAAGCAGGAGATTTTTTGAAGCCTACCAACTGCTGAATGTAAGTTTTATCCCACTTTTGAAATTTTCCTTGCAAAAATTTAAGGGCTTTGGGGGATATATACAAAAGCCAGCTCTCCTGAAAGACTGGACATTACACATTACACATCACTGCAGGCAGGCTGGGATTTCCCACACCAACCAGAGATATTGTCAGGTGTCATGCCCATGTCTCAGCTCAGGATCTTGGGTACGTGTCGGACGTTGCATAGGGAGGCATTGCTAGCACTTCTCAGCAACATGAAATGACAGCCTAACTGCATGTTCCTAACACAGCCCAAGATGGAAGAAATTGTGGTCAAAAGCTTTGTTTGACAGGATAGCTGAGTAAAAAATGTCACTTACGTGCAACAAATTACAGCCTGTCTCAGTTGTGCTCCATACGGACCCTGACAGCTCTTGAAAGCTGAAATCATGTACCCTCCCACTTGTACAAACTCGAGCAAGTTGCTTCTGCTGTGCCACCACCAGCCAAGTGCTCACTCCAAAATTAGGTATTCTAATGTGGGAAGTGAAAATGATGAAAGTTCCCCCCTTTCTGCCCTGCTTGTTCTTTATCTCTGAGAGGTCGAGAAGCACTACCTCCTGCCAAGGCAAAGGATTTTTCAGCTTGACGAAATGATTTACAGGATAAACAACCACATAACGATGGGTATGAGGCAAGTGCTAAATTTACTACAGTTCTGTACTGGCTGATCTTGCATAAAATGAAGCCATCAAGTAATAACTGTTGCTTCACGTCCTGCTTCTGGATTACAGCAAAACACCACTGTTGTTCCTTTGTTCATACAAAATCAACCATATGTCAATATATCATATTTGGCAACGGTACTCAGAAATGCTGCCACCTCCCGGCACACTGGAAATGTCAATTGTTTGCCAGAAACAATTCCCTGGGGGCCATGTAGCATCTCTGCCTAGAGACAAGTGTTCCAGGCACTCAGAAAACATTTGCCTTGAAAAACCACAGCAACAAGTGACCTGTACTGGAAGGTCTCTAAGAAACTGCAGGAAGACTGTGTTTCTAATGGCATGACTGATAACTGCTGCTGAATTTGGTGAAACAGGTTGCTGACATAATATGTATTTTCCTGAAAGTCTGATAGGCAGTAATATGCCATTATGCAGATTGCAGGTGCTGGAAGGTTATTGTTTTGGCCAGACAAGAACTCTAGGGAGTTTTTCAGTACAATTTTGTTTTTCAGTTATGTGTACCTTGATGAATGGTTGTTAGAGTAGGTTTTTGCAGCCTTAAAACTTGATTGAGTGTATGTGGACAGGAGAGCAGAACTCAGCATATCCAGTCTCACATTCAGTGGTATGAGCCACCAAGCTTCTCAGTCTCAGTGTCTCACCCAGAGGACTGTCGCATGGGAGTAGTTTCTTCTTACCATTCAGCGGAGCTGCAAGGTGGAGTGTTCATTTGCATCGGTGTTTGGGATCAAAGGTACTCAGCTACCAAAGAGCCTCCTTTGCCATTCCCTGGAGTCAACAAAATTTGAAGCAGCCCTAGTGATGTATTATAATCTGGGTGTATCAACTCAAGCTAATACTCAGTGATACTCATAATGATTATGATACTCATAACGGTCGAGCTGAAACCTGAAAAATCCACTTACAGCTCTAGTCCTGCATCTGCATTCAAGGGCTTCAGCAAACTGGTTTCCAGAAGCACTGAGCTGCAGATATGATGAGAGATGATATAAATTATCTAAATCTGATATCCTAGTTACTGAAGGCTTTTTTGCTTGATAAGCCTTTCCTGAATTAGTAAATAATAATGGTTACATAGCTCCAAAAATAAAAGCTAGGATAGTCCTCATTCAGGCGGATGTGTACATGGATTTATGGACATGCAGAACTATTAAATGATGTATTATCTTTTTATTCAGGTCTCCTCATAGGATATTAGGATACTCTATTAAGCATACTAAGTTAAATTTCTAGCTGTTGCTGCTCTCAACTCAAAAATATAATTAGATAGGTGTGATGATGGGATGGGGAGTTGCTGAGCTAACTTGGGTATGTGTCTAATGGTGTTTCTAATCATGCCACAGAAGTGTTAGTAAGCACAGGATAACTGGTAACATGGACTGGGACATGAAGGTGTCTATTTTGTTGCTGCTTGACTAACAACACATCAAACATAAGTTGGGTATCAGAAATGAGGAGAAAGATAACCGCTTTGAAACAGTTATAAACATTCTGCCTCCTAAAGGGGCTATATGGAATGTTTTCCTGTATTTGAATGACACCTCATTGTCATTTTAAAGAGTCACAGAATGGAAGAAAGTCTCAGAGCACATCACAGATGAGGCAGAATCTATCCAAAGGTATGGCCACCCGAATGAGGTGCTTCCAGAACAGATCTGTCACCCATCAGCAGGACTGCACTGCTCCATAGCAGCCATGGAATTTCATCCCATGATGTCCCTTGCTTCCCAATGCTAGTCATGGCACTTCTCATACTGGAGCTATAACTGCTTTTTTTTTTTAACTTATTCTTTTTTTAGCTTGAAAAATATCTGGCATCTAGTCCCTGAAAAGGGTTCTTGAGCAGGTTTGGTGCAGCAGACAGCTGTAGCAGGTGATTCAACCAAACCATCTGAGAGAGTGAATGAAAAGGAGTGAGAATTTCTGATGATGTTGCACAACCCCTTTTTAATTAGACTATCAGTGGCTCTTGTGTACCTTTACAAAGGTATTGAGACACACTAATATTAGACATATTTTTGATTCTGTTCAGACCAAAACAGCAAAAGGCCATATTCTTGGGGAAGTTTTAACACCTTTTTAGGGAGCTTTATGTTCAGATCCCTTTCTTCCTGCACACATTACATATTCTTACCCCCTACAGAACAGGGCAGGGAAGGTTTCTTGGAAACTGGGCTTTGTCTTTTCACAAAAGGACAGACATGCCCTGAAGTCCTCCCACACAATACCAAATGCTGTGCATTCAACAGACCTGCTGGTTAATGATCTTGTCCATAAGTAATGTTTTAACCATAGAGTAGCTTTTGTTTGCTTCAAAACCCACAAAGCCAAAGAGGAAGTGTTGGAGAACGTGGGCAGGATGGTGGCCAGGAGCCTTATGACCTCATCTTTTTCCGCCACATGGGGATTGGTGGCCGTGCCCGGGACAGGGTTTAAATTCCCTGAGGTTGGAGATGTCAGGCAGTCAGGGGACGAGGGGAGAAAGCCAGAACTGCTGGGAATCAACTGGCTGGAGCTGCTGCTGGGATCACTAAGAGCACTCTTATTGCAGCTGACTACTCCAGCACCAGAAAAGGTAATTTTTTGCTTTTTTACCTGACATGTGCCACTCTGTCTGCAGCTTTAGTCAAGGAAGTGTTGGGCAGGAGATCTTTGAAAACTGCTTCACTGGACACGGACTCTGTGGAAAAAGGTGTGCTTTTATAGGAGCAAGATTGCTTTAGTGATGCCAGGTATTATACATAATCATAACTTTAAAACTTTGTGCTGATAGATGTTGGGAGTGTGTTACTATCTACCCTGCCACTGAATCAAGTGCTGGAAACTCAAAGCTGGTACTTGAACACAGAAAGTTTCCTCCGTCATGTAACTACTGCTTGGCAGTGTCCTTATTTCTCCTGGCAGGCTAGCAGTTTGTGATGCACGCTACTGAATGGATAGGAATGCACCCTTCTCTGCCTAACTCTTGAAAGTGCAGTACCTCTAACACAGTGCAGTACCTCTAACACAGTCTCCTGTCTCAGGGCCAGCTCTACTAACGTATTTTAAATGGGCCCCTTTCCTGCTTTTATTTAGTAAAGTTTTAAATACCTCTTGTCCATCAATAAATCAGCTTAACTTTTCAAGGATGTTCCTTACCCTGGGAATTGGTCTGTCAGCACCAGAATTTACTGTAGCTCAGCACCCTCCTAATTTCAGCAGGAATCACTAATTTATTAAATTGTGAAAACTGCAATGTGAGCAGATATCTCACTTCATCTCTGACTTGGAAACATGGGTTATTCTGTTCAAACTTCTGGAAGGGGGAAATAAAGGTCTATCAATAAAAGCAGTTTATGTTCATATAAACTGAGTTTACTCACAGTGACTTCAGTTAATAACCCTGAAAACTAGTTTTAAAATAGCTGAAAAGAGAATCCAAGCTGAGTTTGTCTTATCCTGTCTCTTCTGACGAAATGAATGAAGATAAACAAAAGCTGATCTTTATAGTACTTTGTTTTTCACAAAGCTTTTCCTTTGCCAGTGCAAGTCAGTAGCTGACAGGAGTCTGGCCAGTGTGCCTGCTCTCAACACTGCTCAGCACTTCTCAGTACCTGGTTTTAAAATTCTTGTAGCTTTTAAGTTGCCAAGTCATTAGAAAACCAGCTGGTGGTAATGAAGAACAGAGGAAAAAGATTGGCATGGGCAGGCTGAAGTAGAAAGACCAGTAGAAAGCTGGTCTTGGCACAGTGAAGTATCCAGGAGAAAGAAAAAGTCTATTGCATTTTTGTGGTATTTTACCTTTTTGACTCTAACTACCACACTGTTCCAAAATATTTTCTAGGTAAAACATCACAATGAAGGTGGCAGTTCTCTGTTTATGCCTTATCAGCATCACCACTGCATGGCCAGTGAGTAAATCACAAATGCATATCAGCAATCACTTGCATATTTTCTTTGCATATTAGCAAGAAATGAATACTGACAAATGCTTTTTGTCTTTTCTCCCTTCAAGGTGAGTAAATCCAAGCAGCATGCCATTTCTGCCAGCTCCGAAGAAAAATATGTAAGCTCCTTTTGTCTTTCTATTCCTTTTCTTTAACAAATCCTTTTTGATTTATTTTTTTTTCTCTAATACACATTGTCTGATACTTGTTTTATGACTGTAGCTGCTTGCAGAACATGTCCTCACCTGGCTGTTACAAGCTAGTTTCTCAGGTAGCCAAAGCAGAGAGCCAATGATGTCAATAGATTTTTGCCATGTTAGGTGTCCTAACTTTTGTGAGTTGCATCTCTGGACCAGCACTAGAAATCTTTTTTCTTAATGAAAAAATGTGTAAGCTGTCAGTTAAAAAAGATAAAAGGAATGTAGCATGGCACAACTACTATAACCCGCATTTATTAGTATGTATCAGATGGCAATATTTGGTGTTGGAAGAGCACTTTAATCCAATTCCCATGATTTTTTGGAGTGGTGTGAGTGAACACTATTAGTCTTGTATATAGCTATTTGATTTATACTCTGTTGCCAACTACTATCCATGTAAAATCAATTCTTTGCTCTGATTATCAGCTACTACATGTAGTTTAGAGTCTTCATGATATGGGAGATAAATCACTCTTAGAAAAAGGACCTGAGAAGTAGCAGAAACGGTGGACATACCTCCAAATTTCACTTGATAAAAAGGAGTTGGAGAAACTGATCTGAAATTCCCCAGGATCTGTCAGTAGAAGCAGCACATCTGTATTGTATTGTTTGGGTATAACATTCATTTGGGATCATGGCTTGCTCTCAGTTCTCCTCCTGCTGCAATGAATTGTACAAAAGGAGTGTGTATTGCAGATGCCACATCTGGCTGAAAACAGAGGTTGTGATGCAAGCAGCTTTGCCTGTCCTGTGTGCTCTTTTGTGGATTAAACCCTCTCTTCCTCCCCCCCCCGCTTTTGTTTTTCTTTTGAAGGACCCCAGGGGCCATCACTCACACAGATATCATCACCACCCCCACCACCATGTAAATTCTCAGTCTTGGGAGAGTCTGCAGCACCCACAGAATGACCTGGCATCACCTCAGCAGGTATGGACAACTAAATGGAAGACAAAGCAGAACATCTTTCAATGCCAAGATTAGGATTAAGCTAGGATTAAGCGCTTAAAAAATAGCCAACATGCTGATGAGCTCTACTGTATAGGCCTTTGTGTGCTAATAGTGAGTTGTATGTTGTTTTCAGACTCTCCACTCTTCAGAAGAGTACGTGGATGACCCAGTACAACCAGTAAGTGTTTTGAACAGCAAAATGTCAGTTGAGTGCTGCAGGGCAGCCAGTGTGTAGCAGCACTCATTTTTCTCAATTAAATGCAGTTCTTATGGTAACATCTCTCCCTAAATGAAACAAAGCTTCAGGCGGGGTGAGGTGAATTCAGAACAATTTGTGCACGTAGCTCAACAGTACATAAACCCTGGGTGAGCAGGACAGATATCAGTCTGCACGTCACATATATGTTTATTTGCCTGATGCATAATAAATGTTTTCCAGCACTTTCCTGATGTGTCAAGCAAGAGCCATGAAGATGTGGATGATGACGACGATGATAATGATTCCAATGACACAGATGAATCCGATGAGGTTGTCACGAGTTTCCCCACAGACATTCCAGTAACTGTACCCTTCCCTCCTTTCCCTTTCACTCGGGGAGACAACACCGGCAGAGGTGACAGCGTGGCCTACAGGGTGAGGCCAAAAGCTGCAGTGGTGAAGTCTAGAAAACTCCGCAAAGCTGCAAAAAAGGTAAATAGTGATGAGCGGTGGTACCCAGGTTTTGGGAAAAGGGTAGTGAACTTGAAAACAGAGATGTTATTTTATGAGAGTCATTTGTGGAAAGGATTGGTGGGGTGAAAGTAGGCATAAGTGAAGGAATGTATTTTGTTTCTCTGAAAAGAGAAACCCAGATCAGGGGATATCGATAGCCAGAGGGCTGTTGATGTGCTGAGGCAGAAGGGTGGCCTGCTGCTGCAAGCTATGCACCACTGCCATTTGCACTATCATGATGTACTTGCACACATGAAATCTGAGGCCAGGATCAAACTTGAGATTCTTGTAATGTGAAAAGTTCATGTAACTCCATAGAAGATCACAGTGTCTCCAGGCAGAGACGTATCATGCAGGCTTGGAGCTTGGAGTGTTCCCACAGCCCACGCAGCTTGCTTGGGTGCAGTACGTACAGCATCCTCAGGAGTGAAAACGGCTCTTTCTTCTTTTCCTTTCTAACACAGCTCATTGTGTATGATGCCAGTGAGGATGATGAGAGCGCCCTGGATGCAGGCAGCCAACAAGCAGGGCTCTCCTGGGAGGATGCTGCTGCCCGCCGCTCCCTGGGGAAGCATGCCATCAGCGGGGAATGGGCTGACAAGAGCCATGGGCAGGACACCAGTGAGCTGGACAGCAAGCAGCGTGACCAGAGCATGGAAAACGACAGCCGGCAGAAATTTGATAGCCATGAGGTGGAAGGAGATGATAGCAAGGCTAGCATCAGAGTGGATAGCCACCAGAGCATGGAAAGTAGGGAGAGCCAGGTCCGTGCTTCAGCTGAGAACCCCAAGGATAACAGCAATCAAACGTTGGAGAGTGCCGAGGATGCTCAAGATCACCACAGCATCGAAAATAACGAAGTCACCCTTTAAAGGGAGACAAATGTAATGGTTCCCTTCTTTTTCCAGTTCCTACCGAAGGGGAGGGGGGGGGTGTAGCTTTATTTCGGGTAACTGTAAATGTAGAGCGCATGGTGACTTTTTGTGTTTGGGGCTGCTTATTTACCCGGTGGCCTCCCCCCGGCTGCCTGCAGTGCCAGCCCCGCGCCCTGCCCGCCTCACCAGCCTCACAGGCCGGGGGCAGCGGCTGGGGCAGCGAGGCCAATGCTGTTGGATGTGCAGAATGAGCGTTACCTCTCTGGCATGCTGCTCTCTCTACTGCCTGCCTGTATTTTGCTGTAACTGGATTTAAATAAAAACACAAAACCCTGTACCTGCGGACTGTGTTACTGTTTGCCAGGTTGGGGTGGGGGGCTGGCTGCAGGAGGAGCTTCAATACCTCTCCTTTTTAAAATAACGTGAAATAGCTGTTTCGCCCGTAATTTATTAAGTGGCTAAAACCCCTCCGCGGGGCCTCCTTCTGCTTTTACCGAGAATGAGGGGCGACTTGGCCTGAAATACCCAGCTCCGGCCCTCGCACCGCTATCACCTCAGGGCCTCCCGCCTCTCGGCTCGGCAGGCGCGTGCGGCCCGAGCGGCCGCGCCCCTCTCTGAGGGGATGGGGAAGCAACTACATCTCCCTCCGTACCCCGGGCTTTCCGGGCTGGCGCCGGAAGGCGGGGAAGCGGCGGCGCCCCGCCCCGGGCGGCGGCGGCGGGCTGATGGCGGGCCGTGGAGGCTGCCGGCGCGGACAGGAGCAGCTGGAGCTGGAGCGGCTGGGCGAGGCAGCACGGGCCGGCTCCTGCCCACCGTCGCCGCCGCTCTCCGCCTGCTCGCGGCAGGCCTGGAGCCGGGACAACCCGGGCTTCGAGCCCGAGGAAGACGGGGCGGCGGCGGGGCCGGTGCTGGAGATGGACGTGGAGTGGGGTGGCCCCGCGGCCGGCGCTTCGTCGTCGTTGGGCAGCGGAGCGGGGGGCCAGGGCGGCGGCGGGCGGCGGCAGCGGCGGCTCCCCGCGGGGCGCGGCGGGGCAGAGGGGCCGAGCCGCCCTCAAGTGCCGCCCGACGGCGCCGCCCCCCACCGCGCGGCCTGGGCCAAGCGCCTGGCGCGGCGGCTGCGAGGTGAGAGCCTCTGCCCCCCGCTGCCCTGTTCCCTCTGCCGCAGCGTGACTCCAAGGCGCTGGGCTCCTGCAGCTCGGCTGCCTTTTCCTCTCTGTCGCCCAGAGGAGCGTTTATGAGTTGTTTGTAGTTCTTTTGCGTTTTCTTCCACCCGCCTCCTTGCTACCTCTTTTTCCTCTAGCCGTGTTGTTTTCCCCTCTCCCGTCTGTCCATCCGTGCTTGCTCCTGTCTATGTCCCCACAGCTTAGTGCACATCCATATTCTAGACTCTGTCTTGGTTATGCCTCCCAGCATGCACGTATATACGCACACCTGTTCCCTTCCTTTTGTCTGAAGCACAGAGCTCTCTGCTCCCCGGGTCTTAGTCCTGGCTGCGTTCAGTGTAGGAGACTCTCCTGAATGTTTTTTGGATACACGTGGCTATTCTGGTCAGGTGTTTGGAGAGTTTGAGCAGAACGCTTCTCTTTCTCTCTTTTTCAGCATTCTCTGTCCTGTAAAAGAAGTGGTTAGGATGGCATTTGTTGCTTAGACTGGGATTGTTTATTCGCTTTTGCTTTTCTGCGATGTGGCACGGTGCCTTGGAGCTGCCCTCGATTGTTAGAGCCGCCTGTTGATGCACAACTGGTGAGCAGGGGCATAGTTTGGAGTATAAATGGAAGCATTTGGAGTGTTGTTCTAAACCTGCTGTGTTAACCCTGTGCTGAGCTGGCTCTGTACAGAGTTGATGTGACAGAGCAGAAAAAATGGTGAACTCGCTGGATTCAAGGTTGTGGGAGAGCACGTGAGAAACTCCCCTTCCTTTTCAGAGAAGCTTAAAATGTCAGCATCAAATTGTGAGGATTTTAAACCTAGGATTTGTTTAAGTGTCAGACAAAGTCTTTATAGTTATAAAGCTGCAGGAAAATTAAACCATGTTTAGAAAATAAGGTTTCTTCTAAAATGTGTATTTTCTGAAGTGATAGATTGTACTGTTACTGGCTAGCACAGCATCAGCAGAGATGTCAAAATGAACTTGATTTTAAGCAGGGACTTGTAAATTAGGCTATTGTATGTCCTGTATGTCTTCACTTTGATTTTCACGTGCATTCAAAAACTCATTTGCTGTAATGATTTCTCTGTCTTCAACTGTCTTGCACCAAAATAAATCCCTCTTGATTATTGCAGTGTTGTACTTGGATGCAAGTCAGACTTGCAGAGATTATGGAATAGAGCATGTTTTCTTTTCAGCAGATTTTATTGAGAGAGTGTTCAATGAACTAAGTCACTTCATAACAAGAGACCAGAATGGCCAGGAAAAAGTATCAATGATTATTATGTGTTATGCATGAACTGGCACTGTGTTTTGAGTCTTCAGTGGTGTGTTTAGTTTAGTCTGTCGCTGAGACACGTAAATTCCTAGGAAAGGAGCTGCTTCACGTGGAGAAAGTCCTTTTATAAAAAAATTTGTCTAACAGACTGTTCAGATGCTCCCTTTGTACTAGTTGTTGCCAAGAGGGAACCTCCTGCATATGCTTTTAACTGTGGTGAAAAATAGTGGTGTTTGGACATGAGGTGAGTGTAAGAGTGACTTTGTTGTGACCTGGCATAAGTTGCTACTGTTTTATCTCCGTCATGTGCTTCTGCAGTAAAACTCAAAATGATTCTCAACACTAGGACCGATTTTGGTGCTGATTTCTGATCCATTTTGAACCTGAAGGCAGAGCTTAATAATATGTGATTTGTGTAAGATTACAGTACTTGCAGATGGAAAGAAGGTCCAGCAGGCAGACTTTTTTTTTTCTTTTTTTTTCTCTCCCTCACCCCATGAGATACTATTCTGACAAAGGCTTGGTAAAATGCTTTGTTGATTGTTCATCTGCATCTACAGCTTAGGCTTGGTTTTGGGTGGAGGAAGGTTGCTTATTATTACGCTTTTTTTTCTAGTAGGTTTTTTTTTGTTTTAAGCCTATATATGCATTTTCACCTTGTTCAGCTGAGCAAGCAGCAGAACCAAGAGGAATTGGCTTTTGGTGAAGCTGCTTGCTGTGCTGGCAGAATTAGTGCAGCTGAGCCTTCAGCGGCTTCAGCATCAAGCAGGTGTTGCCAGGGAAGGTGTTTTGGTTCTGCTCTGATAGATGGATCCCTGGCCTGTCCTGCTGCCTAAAGGCAATGTATCTTGAGCAAGAATAACCAGTTTGGGAGTTGATGTGCATCCATAGCTTGAACTTTTAATAGTTGTGCTTTCAGGCTGAAAGATCAGGACCACCTTTGACATGGTGACTTTATGTATCCTTTTGACTGGTGTGGTTCTCTTTACACTACTGGGTTTGAGCTTATTAATCAAGTGTGTGCGGTGTGGAGAATGGTGCAAAGTTACACCTTCTTGCAGTGCCTGAAAACAAAAGAAATATTTTCAATAATAGGTGTGGATCAAGCTGCCTATTGCTGTTTAAGACTGCCAGTGTACAATGGCAGTATTTTATTTTTAGCTATAAAGTGAAAAGACCTGGTTTCATGTTCTAGGAATGTTCAGAGTGGATTTATCCCTGTGGCTACTATGGACAGTTTCTGTTGATTTCTGACCTGCTTACATTGTGTGTTTATAGGCAAGTGTAGCAAAAGTTACTGTAGTAGACAGATCCTTTTCTTGCTCTTTCATGAGAATGTTACCATTAATGCATAGGCACAATAAATGGCTCAGTGTGACTTCTGTGCTGTGGAGGTACTGCAGGGTGCTGTACTGTACTTGCCTGCTGCATGGGTAACAACCTTCTCTGAAGAATGTGATTGCTACAGGCTGCACAGCGAAAGGGCTGATTTCAAGCCTAAATTTAATATAGGCATTTGAAGCATTATGGAGTTTTTAGTACTGGAAGGAGCATTCAGTAGTTCTTTTGACGTTTCATGGATAACCATGAGGATCTTTGAAGACTGGAAAATGTCACGCTTTCAAGATCACAAGATGAAAGTTTGTATAGATTTATTTAATGAAACGGCATTTGCATTTTTCTAAGTAGTATTCAACAAGAGGGATTAATCCTTTGTATATCAAAGGTGATAGTGTTATCATGGCTAGACAAGTTGCCATCCCCAGCTAGGGGATATTGAGTGACAGATTACACTTTTCCTGCAGTCAGTTGTTAAATAAAAATGCAGATAGGATTTAAGGTAATGGGATTTTGGTAATTGCAACTATAGGGGAGACTGTAACAGAAGTTACTAAGGGAATAGAAAGTCTTACTTCAGATTAGCTGAATTTTAGGTTCTCTTTGTGGATTCTTCTCAGATTCTGATGTGAGTGTCTGTGAAGTAGCTTTAGTCCCTCTAGTATTGCAAATCTCTTCAGCAAACATCCCAGATGCTGAGGGGAGAAGAGGGGATGAATATTCAACCCTGTTAAGCAGAAAGTCATCAAAAGTTTTGACAGGTAAGAGCAAAGTCTGTTTCCAGAGCCAGGCTGGAAAGGTAATCTGCCCATCAGAGCTGTCACCTTGTTGCTCGTGTGCATCAATACTGAGGAGTGTATGTGGGATATTTCTTGAAAGATTTTCATAGTTATTGTTAAATGGAAGTATCAAATATCATTTCCAGTCACTTACTAGTGGTTAATGCTCATGAAGGCTCATTGAGCTCATTGAGGCATTTTTACTGAGTTGAACTAGTGAGGGCTCCAATTGTACCTTACTAAGGAATGTGAACTAAGGTCTGTGAGACTGTGTTTTGTTGTTTGGGGATAAAGCATCTTTGCCTGAGGGTCATTTTCCTCTCCTTCCTCCAACCTGGTTCTTTGCCTGGCATCTGAATTTCTGTATAGGTGGAACTGTTGGTGCTATGTATCTTGGCTTGAGCAGTTGCAGAACTTAGGACTTTTACATAAATCTGAATTACTTTATATGCATTTTGTACCTTATAAACTTGGCTTTATGATTGTGTAGGTATATGTATATATACATTATGTATATTACAGAATCACAGAATCTTCATGGTTGGAAAGGACCTCTGAGATCACTGAGTCCAACCATACACACACAAAAAAACCCCTACAAACTCGGGCACTAGAGCATGCCCTGGAGTGCTACGTCTACATGTATCTTTAAATCCCTCCAGGGATGGTGACTCCACCACCTCCCTGGGCAGGCTGTTCCAGTGCCTGACCACCCTCTCAGGAAAGTCATTCTTCCCAAGATCTAATCTAAACCTCCCCTGCCCCAGCTTCAGACCATTTCCTCTGCTCCTGTCATTCCCGCGGGAGAAGAAGCCAACCCCCACCTCGCTACAATCTCCTTTCAGTAAGTTTCACAAGGCAATGAGGTCTCCCCTCAGCCTCCTCTTCTCCAAACTCAACATGCCCAGTTCCCTCAGCCTCTCCTCGTGTGACTTGTTCTCCAGACCCCTCCCCAGCTTGGTGGCTCTCCTCTGGACACGCTCCAGCCCCTCAATGTCCTTCTTGTGGTGAGGGGCCCAGAACTGAACCCAGCCCTCGAGGTGAGGCCTCAATAGTGCCCAGTCCAGAGGCACCATCTCTGCCCTGCTCCTGCTGGCCACGCTGATCATGATACAAGATGGATGCTGGTGCCCTTCTTGGCCACCTGGGCACATGTGTATATAGGTATATAACATCTTATATATTTGTAAACAGAAGGATTTTCATTTCCTATGTTGCCTAACAAGCTAAACCTTTTTATTGTAAGATAAGTTTCATGCTTTTTTTTTTTTTTTTTTACTTTGATCTTAATTTTTTGACAACTCTTCTGAGTTTGTATACTCTTTGGGTAAGCCATTTGGGCTACAGAGTGAGTATGAGAGAATTGTTATTTGCAGATTTATTTGACAAATGAAAGAGTACTAGATGCTGTCTGAAAAATTGATTAATAGAAAATTTATGTAAGGAGTAAACTGAAAATTATTAATCAAGGCTGGAAGCAAAATGGTTTTGGTCCTTGCAGTAGATGTCAATTTAAATCCAGTACTGCTTACCACTGCTATTATTGATGTATATAAACAAACGTTCTAATAAGACAAAAACATAACAACTAATGGAAGCTTCAAGATAGCTGATGGGCAAATCCAGAGTTCATTTAACACAAATATCAGTGTATGATCTCTAATGCTGGGTTTGGTATGTGGAGTTGTTTTTTTTTTTTTTTTCACGTGTAACTTTCTGTTCCTTGTTGACTGATTCCTAAGTATTCCAATATGACAGAATTCAAGCTTGCAAGCTTTCTGCTCACCACATATCTTATTGGTGAGTAATGTGCTGACAGCCAGGACTCGCTCTCTCGACAGCTTAGCTCACTGGCTGTTCCAGCCTCTCTTCCCTAATGTTTTCCTGCCTTTATTATGAGGGTTGCTAGTGCAACGTAGCGGTGTGTTAGAAGCTGGATTTGTTGAATTCTTTATTATTAGTGACTCTGTGAATGTTCTTGTTTTTGTGTTTCCGTCTTCAAGAATGACCTAATGGTGAGGATTTGGCATTCTGTGTAGTAAAATTGCAGTCTCTATCTGTAAATTCTCAGACTTAGACTTAAAGAGCAGCTTTGAAAAAGCTCTCGTTTTGGGAGCTGACACTAGTGAAGGTTCCAAGTTACTAATTAAGGAGCGTGAACAGAAATTAATGCTAAGACTATTAGTGCATGCTGTGCACTTTTTATTGTAAGAGAATAGAGAAGTTTCCTGGTAGACTTTGTGGTTAGGTCACAACTTAAAAATGTGGTAGCTGAAAGGCTTCTAAAAACAACTAACATTCCCCCCCCCCCCATTATACTTTGTATTTACAGGTAAAGAGAAGAGGTTCTCTGTTAGCAAATGATGTTCTGCAGCAGGCAAATTAACCCTTTTTCTGTCTTACCTTACAAAGCAACTGAACTCTTATGGTGTTCTTAGCTTTATAATGTGTTTTGGCTGTCTCTTTTTGCTGTTCCATTTTACTTCAAATTACTGTGGTATGTTTGATGAATCAAAGATTTATTTTTTTTTCCTGGGGAGTTTGAGGTTGGTTCATTTCCATTTACTGAGAACTTAAAGCATGTTTTAAAAGCTTGGCCGTTTAAAATACCTGAAAAGGGCAGAAGTTTGGTGTGGTTCTGTAAGAGTAAATTTTTATTTTGATATGCTTTCTCTCCCACCATAAACTAAGGTCACAGCACCTTGCTTTATTTAGGCTTAAATGAAGGGAAGTTCCTTGAAGGTAGCAATTCTGCTCTGAACATCAGCAGCTATTCCCAGCTTTTTTTCTGCTCTGTATTAGGCACAAGAAATAAGTATGGTGGTTATTAACTGCTTTCTGTTCCAAGATCACAGAATCACAAAATAGTAGGGGTCGGAAGGGAGCTCTGGAGATCATCTAGTCCAACCCCTCTGCCAAAGCACGTTCACCTACAGCCTGTTGGGCAGGAACACATCCAGGCAGGTTTTGAGTATCACCAGAGAAGGAGACTCCACAACCTTTCTGGTCATCCTGTTCGGGTGATCTGTCACCCTCAAAGTAAAGAAGTTTTTTCACATGTTGAGATGGAATTTCCTGTGTTCCAGCTTGTGCCTGTTGCCCCTTGTACTGTCACTGGACACAACAGAAAAGAGTCTGGCCCCATCCTCTTGACACCCTTTAGATATTTACAAGCATTGATGAGATCAGTTATTTCTAATGGTTATTTCTTTCAGAGGCTCCATTTAAAAGATCCTTTTGCTTTTTTGTTACCCTTTTGGAATGGATCACCAAAGTTCAATAACTTCTCTTACGCTGTCTTCTTGAGAATGTCAAGTATAATATGAAGCTAGTAACAAGCAGCAGTAGTTCAGCTAACGCGGTTGCCCAGTTTGACAGCTCATGTGGTCATGTGGTGGTTGCTCACGTAGGTCACTGCTAATGTTGCAATGACAGCTCTGTTGTGCAGAGAAGGAAATCATGTACAAACGCTCACCAAGATTCCTGCTCCATCTCTGTTGGGTATGCCTTGCCTGTTTGAGAGAGGAAAGTTAGGATTCGTTTTCTTTAAAAATATGTTTGACTGACATAAGTAGCTTCCTATCTGAAAGGAGGATAAGACTACTAAGAAAGGTTTGATACTGAATGTGCATTTTCATTCATCGAACAATGCTTTTCATATTGTAAAAAAGCTCCAAACACTGCACTTCATTTCTTGAAAGATGGCTCTCTATGCATGTCTTTGTATACTTGTATCTCTTTTCATACCATGTGGTTTTAAGTGATGGCACTTCTGGCATATCTTCCATAGATTCTGGTAAGAGTTCTGCTGAGCTATTACTAAATGATTTTTGTATCTCATGAATAGTTAATACTGCCTTGGGCTCTGTTCAGCCTATGGAAGAAGTTGTTCTTGCTTGAACTTAGTTCAGTTTAAAATCCATAGAAGAACCTGCAGCAGAAGTTACATAGGTTAAGCATTCAAAACTACTTACTATGTCATTTGTGTATCTAGTATCAGACATTTGTGTACATCATTATATATGTTTTCCTTTTAAGGTCTATGGGGGACGAGACTCATGGAAGAAAGCAACACCAGCAGAGAGCAATATCTGAAAAGTGTTTTACGGGAATTGGTTACATACATGATTTTCCTTGTGGTCTTGTGTGTCTGTAAGTACCATGCAGCTTTATGCATCCCATTCTGTACTACCTGCTTGGTTATCTGTGATTCCAGAATAAAGGTTGTTTCAGTGATGTGGGAGAAGAATTAATTGTCAGGTGTGTAGGCAAATATTTGGAATCTTTATCTTGTTTCTGCACATGGATTGTTGCTTGAAATTGAAAATACTGCAACTTTCTGTGCCTTAATAAGTGTTGAACATTTAAACAGGATGATAGCATATTTGTTTTTAGGGAGCATTTTTTTAATGTAGTACCACATTGCCATGTAACATTTCTGCTATGCATTTTGAAATCACTGAACAAAACTGCTAAATGTGAAGAGTAGGAGTTAGTCATTTAGGACAAAAAATTAAATTAAATCGCTGAGTTTCAAGTTTATCACCAAGCTTACATACAGATCATTCTAAGACTAGAAGTTCTTGATAGTAGCTGGAAAGGCAGACATAATGCTAGCTACTTAGAAATATCTGATAATTTGTGTTTGCATGATGCTGGATGTTTTAAATACATCAGCAGTCTATGTATACTCATGCGTATATGAATCACAGCTGGAGACTTCGATGATTTAAGTGGATTGTTTGTTTTGTTGTCTATGATATCATATGAAGTATCATAACACTGTAAAACACAAAACAGAGTAACATTCAACCTACTTTTTTTTTTTTAATTATTATTTTATTTTATTTGGCTTTTAAGTAGGTGACTGCTTTAAGGTAGATGCTCTAGAATCAATACTGAAGACGTTAGCAGATTTTACTAAATACAGTCTTAGTACAGAAGAGAGGAGCTTGATGTATAGCAATATTTCTGGACCCAAACAGAGTTTAAGAAAGCAGCCTGGACGGAATTTGCTGTTCTTTTCTCAGGGTGAAGAACCTTAGTGATAAAGCACAGATAACACAGGATGTTTAGCACAGGCCTCACAGAGCACCATGAACAGTTGTGACTGGCATAATGTACTGATTCTGAGAGCGATCTTCTTTTCTGGTCTTGGGAACTTAAGACCCTTACGCAATTCTATTTTAAGATCTCTAGGGTTTCTTAAGTTAATAGTCAAATCATGGCATGTTTGCATATTTGCATAAAAATTAGCAAGACAGTGCAAAATAGAATTTACTATGGAGTTGTGAAATAGATGTTTTATTTGATTACTAGTGAGAATAACAACAAAATCTATATGCATTAAGTTAATCTTTGGAAAGCGGATATGTTTCCAGCCTCCAATTTTTAGTGTGGGCGGCTGTGTTCTAAATGCCTGAAATGTCAGTGGCTCTTAAGTTGTTGTTTATGATTAGTTTGAACAGAACAAGGTGATGGTTTTATTTTTTGTGAGATTGCATTTTATTTTCCACTCTAAAATTCTAAACTACATTGGTAGACTGCCTCTGTGAGAGCAAGTCTGCCTTGCTTGTCCAGAGTAGAATTACTTAAAAAAAACAAAAAACAAAACCAAAACAAAACACAAAACCCCCAAACTTTATATTGTTGAAACAACTGTTTTGGTGTTGTACTGCAAGCATGTTTATATACTAAATGTCATGTTTTTTCCTTTCTGAGTCCTTTAAGAATTCTTACTGCAGGTTTCTGAACAAAGTGGTGTAAGACTGCTTGTGGCTTGTATGCTGTACCACCAGGTGACCAGTGAGGGACTTGAAATTAAAATAAAGTGAAATTGCTTTCAGCAAGAAAAGTTTGCCTGCAGGCTGTTAACGCTATAGGAAAAGATTTTTGGTAACAAAGTAAAGGAAAAGTATAGTGTGTTAAATACCTACAGATACGCGTTAGTATTTTTTTAAGTACTATCCTTTTAAATTTTACGTGTAAGCAATAACATGGGACAAACTGGTATGTGGCTTGGCGTGCCCTAGGAGAGAGCTTTCCAGAGCAGGCTAAATGCTATGGGTGTTTCTTGTACTCTTGTATTTTTGAGAGCACATATTTAGAGAGAATCCAGGTATTGCGCAGTCCTGTGATACATTCCACGTACCACAGCAGAAGCCTGTTAGAAATAGTTCTTGTTCTCTGGTTGCTAAAGAAAACGACATTTTCTTCCCTGTGATAAAATATTTTTATAAAATTGTCAGAACTGATGGAGATTTTTCAGTGTATATTTGAGCTTTCAGGCTTCTCTGAGTTTTAGCTGTAAAATGGTTTTAAGTATTTATAGGCAGTAACAGTATCAGTGCCAGAAACTGTTCTCTCAAGCCATTTTGGCTTTGTACATCACTATATAGTTTATGCTCTGTGGTCCTCAGACAAATGCTTGGCCCAGTGTGAGGAAAAGAAATAACACACAGTCATTTATTTTCTGTGGGGAGATTCTTTTACAAGCACTGCGCATCTTGGGTGGAGTTTCATTGTCTAACCGTAGGTGGCTAATATTATGGTGCCCTGTGATATCCTAGTTGAGCATCATTATCTGCCCAAGCAGGGCATAGTTCTCCTGAGGTTTTGTGCCATCCGTGCCAGCCCTCTACAGATGCCTTGGATAGCACAAGTCACCTGAAAAGGCACTAGCTGCTTCTCTTCAGCCGGCTGAATGATGCCATTGTTTTTCTTGAAGTTAGCTTTTGTAGAAGCATTAATAATAGAATGAGGTGTGGGGCAGAGATCTGACTACTTTAAACTGATCGATCAGTCGATCAGTCTGTTATTTGCTGCTTTTTATGTTTTGATCACAGTTGACAGACAAATGCTGCTTAGTGTGGATTTTGTTTTGTTCTGAAGCTTAAACTTTTCAGTGCAAAATCTATACAAATACAACCTGCTGTGTTCAAAACAAGCCAAGCAAAGTAGTCTTTTTTTCTTCTTTTTATTCGATAAATTTCTTCTTTTTATTCGATAAATTTCTTCTTTTTATTCGATAAATTTCTTCTTTTTATTCGATAAATTTCTTCTTTTTATTCGATAAATTTCTTCTTTTTATTCGATAAATTTCTTCTTTTTATTCGATAAATTTCTTCTTTTTATTCGATAAATTTCTTCTTTTTATTCGATAAATTTCTTCTTTTTATTCGATAAATTTCTTCTTTTTATTCGATAAATTTCTTCTTTTTATTCGATAAATTTCTTCTTTTTATTCGATAAATTTCTTCTTTTTATTCGATAAATTTCTTCTTTTTATTCGATAAATTTCTTCTTTTTATTCGATAAATTTCTTCTTTTTATTCGATAAATTTCTTCTTTTTATTCGATAAATTTCTTCTTTTTATTCGATAAATTTCTTCTTTTTATTCGATAAATTTCTTCTTTTTATTCGATAAATTTCTTCTTTTTATTCGATAAATTTCTTCTTTTTATTCGATAAATTTCTTCTTTTTTCTTCTTTTTATTCTATAAATTCTTTTATTCTATAATATTCTATATTATTTTTTTTCTTCCTTTTTATTTTTACTTCTCTTTCCCCAAGCCCTTTACCTCTACCAAATCTTTTGCAGTGACTTACGGGACAGTGAGTTCCAGTATGTACTATTACACAAGGGTTATGTCGCAGCTCTTCCTGGAAGCACCTGTATCAAAAATGGAGAAAACTGATTTCAAAACTTTGTCCACAATGGATGACTTCTGGAAGGTAATCTAAGACCAGTTTTTGATCTCGCTGTTGCTGTGGTTTGCTTGTGCTGTCATGGCCTGTAAATTTAATCTGCAGGATCTTTTTTCTAAGGTGGTAGGGGTTGTGCATGAAGATTTATGCACAATGTCAAAGCTATGGAAGAAAGTAGGCCTTAAAAATGTGAAAGTTTAGAACCTGGGTAATGCTGGTAGGGCAAGGTTGCAGAATGTCTTTGGAGGACAGGTAACCGGAAGGTCTTCTGTCAGAAAAAATATCAACTACAATTCTACCATGTCTGTGGAATGAAGATCTATAAAACCAGTGCTGGCAACGTGCAAACTGAAATTCTTGTCTTCCTCCTCAGTTCACAGAAGGCCCTTTGTTGGATGGTCTTTACTGGGAGATGTGGTACAACAACAAAACCATGGCAGAAAACAAAAGCTTCATTTATTATGAGAACCTTCTCTTAGGGGTGCCTCGCATTCGGCAGCTAAAAGTGAGGAATGGGTCATGCTCAATACCTGAGGATTTAAAGGATGAAATCAAAGACTGCTATGATGTCTACTCTGTCGCTAATGAAGATACTGCTCCTTTTGGACTTCGGAATGGAACAGCGTATGTAGTATTCCTGTAGACACGTTTTTGGTTTTCTTTTTTTCCTGACCTGGGCTATGCTGAATTACACAATAAATCACTTGGCAGAGGCAGCTCTGCATTTGCTGTATGTTTTGTACAGAAAGCCAGGTACATCTAGACCTGCTGCCAGTTCTGCTCATGGAGAAAGCTTACTGAACTTGGAGAGAACTGTGCTCTTAATCCACTTGAATTTAGGTGCTGTCAATGTGCCATTGGTAGCTGTTGTGCTTGGGAGACGCGCTGTGGTCTGAGTGCAGCACTGCAACTTGTGAGCACCTGTTCTGTAATTCCAAATTGTATTACTGCAGTGTGTTTCACAGAGTTGTCTTCCCAGGCTATAAATGGGAATAGCACTGCATCTTTTGGAGGACAGTGTGTCGGTTGAACTGTAAAAGGTTTTGGAGATGGAAGGCAACTATGTAAATACCAGTTTTCTTTCCCTGAGGATTGAAATTCTGTGCGAGTGGATTAATGCGTTCTCTTTTCATGATTAACATATTTATGACCTATCTTTCTATCTTAATTTTGTTGTGTTCGTTAAAGGAACTTTGTAAGCTTTTTCTCCAGGGTACATCAAAACTTTAGAATCATAGAATTGTCTGGGTTGGAAGGGAACTTTAAGATCATCTAGTCCAACCATCAACCTCACTCTGATAAACCATGTCTCTAAGCACTATGTCAACCTGTCTTTTCAGTGCCTCCAGGGATGGTGCCTCAGCCACTTCCTGGGCAGCCCATTCCAAGGCTTAATAACCCTTTCGATGTCAAAATTTTTCCTAATCTCCAATCTGAACCTCCTCTGGTGCAACTTGAGGCCGTTTCCTCTTGTCCCATTGCCTGTGACTTGGGAGAAGAGACTGACCCCCACCTCCCTACACCCTCCTTTCAGGGAGTTGGAGAGAGCGAGAAGGTCTCCCCTCAGCCTCCTTTTCTCCAGGCTGAACACCCCCAGCTGCCTCAGCCTCTCCTCATAAGACTTGTTCTCCAGACCCCTCACCAGCTTTGTTGCCCTTCTCTGGACCCACTCCAGCAGAGATACTTTCTACAAGCATCTCTTAAATGAAAGCAGCTTTAAGTAACTGATTGGGGTTTTTTTGCTCAGGTTTTGTTGGTGTCTATTTTGTTAATTGTTGAGTGAAAGGTGGAAGGACTAACGTGCTGTTTCACTTCTGAACTAGTTGGACGTACACCAATGAGAAGGATTTGAATGGGAGCAGCCACTGGGGCTTGATTGCCACATACAGTGGGGCTGGTTATTACCAAGACCTCTCAAGGACAAGAGAAGTGACAGCTGTGCAGATTGCTAGCCTTAAGAAGAACCTGTGGCTGGACAGAGGGACCAGAGCAGCTTTCATTGATTTCTCTGTATACAATGCAAACATCAACCTATTCTGCGTGGTCAGGTATGAACGGAACCATGACAGTGTTCAAATAGCACAGTGTAGGTTGTAGATTTGGGGCTTTCTTGTGATTGCTTTGTTTTGAGAACATGGGTAAGTGTATGTTTTGTAGAAAGGAGGCAGAGAGCTGAAGTTGTGTGCCTCCCTGTTAAAGAGGTGGGACTCCACGTGGCAGCTGAATTCGCCATCTGGAGGCAGTTCTGACTTTCACAACGGCCTGGGTGCAGGTTACAGGTGATTTCTCTAGTGAGTTGGCTTATTAAAGTTAACACATGGATATACAATATCAGTCTTTAGTTTAGGTAGCGTGAAACAGATGAAGACAGGGCTTTCTGCTTTTTTTTATCACTGTTCTGAAATGCTTTGGGTTTTGGTCAAAATTGAGAGCGATCAGGTTTACACTTGTTCTGCGTAGCGTCTTCTGTCAATCATGTGGGCTGTTGCCTGTTTCCATTATTTAAGTAACTACGCAAATAAAACAATATATCTTTCAGTAGTGCTTTTCATCAATGCTGTGTAAATGATATTTGTTTTCTATGCCTTTTTTCAAATGAAGGTTGTTAGTGGAGTTTCCAGCGACTGGAGGCCTTGTTACATCTTGGCAGTTTCAGCCAGTGAGGCTGATTCATTACATCTCCACTTTTGATTTTTTCCTGGCAGCCTGTGAAGTGGCATTCTGTCTTTTTGTTCTTTATTATATGGTGGAAGAGATTTTAGAAATTCACATTCATAGACTACATTACTTCAGAAGTCTCTGGAATTGCCTTGATATCCTTATCATTGTGGTAAGTAATCTTTATAATAAGGCTTCTGAAATGCACTTGGTGGGAGACATTAATGACCCAGTATTTCTGTTGTGGGTTTAAGGTATAGGGCCATCATTAGGAGGGATACTTACGGGGATACTTACAGACTATTGGTCAATTCAGTCTGAATAAGACAACTTTAGTCTGTGTTGTAATGTTGGTGTCTGTTGCAAACTTGCTTGTTCTGTCTTCGATGGTTTGAAACTCCGTGTGCTAGTGAAAACCTAGAGTATTTGTCCAGCATGGTTTTTTCAGTTTTTTTCTGTGAAGGCACAGCCATTATGAGGAGTAACAAACTCACCCTCATTTCTTTTCTGCATATTTGATACAGACTTAATGTGGTATTAAAATACCCACCAGCTAATGCCAAGTTTTAAGAAGTGTCTCAAAACTGTAGAGTGCTAGCAGCTCTCAGGGCTGCTTTCTTGATTAAGTGGACAGTGTTGCACGTCAGTAATTTTGGTGTAGCAGAAAATTTAAGCTTTGAATTTAAAGCTACATAATGTAATTCCCTCTGGATTTGTAACAAGCTGAGCTTACCAAAAGTATTCGAAGCCAGTGGTGCTTCAGCAGTTCCAGTCCCACACTCATTTTATGTCTTCAGGCTTGGATGAGTCAAAGGTTTAAGTCTTGAAGTTAGTATCTGCAATCTACAGAAACCATACTTGCATCACAGTGCTTTGTAAATGAACCATTTAGGAGGATGTTTTCAGGCACTGTGTGCTGTTTATTATACTTAACAATGGGGGTGGGAATAAGATGCTTTGTTGTTACAGTCAGTGAAGCGTATTCAAGCGTGAGTGTAAAATTCAGTTCACGCAAAAGACCAAAATTCCATGTCTATACCTTGTGTGAGGGACGTTGTTTAAATTTATGACTATGTACTTTATGACTATGTATACATGGTGTTCACTTACACTAATAAAAAGTGCATTTGCAGACATCAAAGCAAGAACCTTAGCTGTATGGTAGAACTACAGCTTCTCTGCTGTTGCTTCTTCATGGAATCATGGAATCACAGAATTGTTGGAGTTCGAAGGGACCTCTAGAGATCATCCAGTCCCGCTCCCCTGCCAAAGCAGGGCTGCCCAGAGCACATCACTCAGGAGCCTCCAGGCGGGTCTTGAAGATCTCCAGAGAAGGGGACTCCCCACCCTCCCTGGGCAGCCTCTGCCAGGGCTCTGCCACCCTCACCCCAAAGAAGTTCTTCCTCAGATTGGAGTGGAACTTCCCATGGTCCAGCTTGTGCCCTTTGCCCCTCGTCCTGTCACTGGGAACCACTGAGAAGAGTCCGGCTCCATCTTCCCTCAAACCGCCCTTTAGATACTTATAAGCATTAATAAGGTCTCCCCTCAGCCTTCTCTTCCCCAGGCTGAAGAGTCCCAGCTCTCTTGGCCTTTTCTTGTGAGGGAGATGCTCCAATGCCTTAATCATCTTTGTTACCCTACGCTGGACTCCCTCCAGCAGTTCCCTGTCGCTCTTGAACTGGGTAGCCCAGAATTGGAGGCAGGATTCCAGTTGTGGCCTCCCCAGTGCAGAGCAGAGGGGGAGAATGACCTCCCTCCACCTCCTGGCCACACTCTTCCCTATGCAGCCCAGGATCCCATTGGCCCTCTTGGCCACAAGGGCACATTGCTGGCTCATGGAGAGTTTGCTATCCACCAGTATCCACCTGTTCTGGGCAATACTAGTTGGTCTGTGTGCCAGAGAAACTCTAGTACCTTTTTGGCCACTGCTGTCTTTTCTCATCTTTACTCTTTTTCACCTTTGTCTTTTTGAGTTCTCTTTTCTTTTTTCCTTATATTTCCTTCTCTGTGACACCTTAATTTTTCTGAGCCCACTAGACTTCAGTCATCTTGTTCTTCAACTGTGGCAAGGAAAAGATTTCTAAATCTTCTTATTCCCAGGCTTTTTGTCTGTAGTCTATAATGATTTTGTTGTGAAAACCATTTCCTCATATGTCCAAAAATTCTAGTTTGGATCTTATCTCAAACAGCAGCCATTGGGCTGTTAAATTACTCTAAGGTGAAAAGATGGTGAAACCTGCCACCCTCCAGCCCTGACAGCTGCCTGGGCATAAGCACCAGTGTGATCAGTCTCCAGCAGGGTTGATGCTGAAGGACTGTGAGAACCTTCTGTCAGCTTTATAGTCAGGACATCTTGAAAACAATATATTTGCTTTTACTTAAGGCTCAGTTTATGGTAGTGCTATAGATAACATAAAGTTCCTCATATCTTGGAATCATAGAATGGTTAGAGTTGGAAGGGACCTTAAAGATCATTGAGTTCCAGCCCCCCTGCCATGGGCTAGTTCTCCCACCAGACCAGGTTGCTCAAAGCCCCATCCAGCCTGGCCTTAAACACTTCCAGGGATGGGGCATCCACGACTTATCTGGGAAATGTGTTCCAGTGTCTCACCACCCTCAGGAAAAAATTTCTTCCTAATATCTAATACAAATCTCCTCACTTCCAGTTTAAAACTATTACCCCTCATCCTGTTACTACACTACCTAATAAAGAATCCCTCCCCATCTCTCCTGTTGGCCCCCTCTAGGTATTGGAAGGCTGCTCTAAGGTCTCCCTGGAGCCTTCTCTTTTCCAGGCTGAACAACCTCAACTCTCTCAGCCTGTCTTCATAGCAGAGGTGCTCCAGCCCTCTGATTGCTGTGATGCTCCTCTGGACACGTTCCAACAGGTCCATGTCCTACTTATGTTGGGGACTCCAGAGCTGGACACAGTGCTTCAGGTGGGGTCTCAAGAGCACAGAGTAGAGGGGCAGAATCACCTCCCGTGACCTGCTGGTCACACTTGATGCAGCCCAGGATGGGGTTGGCTTTCTGGGCTGCCAGCACACATTGCTGGCTCATGTTGAGCTTCTCATCCATCAGCATCCCCAAGTCCTTCTCCTCAGGGCTGCTCCCTATCCATTCTCTGCCCAGCCTGTACTTGTGCCTGGGATTGCTGTGACCCAGGTGCAGGACCCTGCACTTGGCTTGGTTGGACTTCATGAGGTTCACACAGGCCCATGTCTCAAGCTTGTCCAGGTCCCTCTGGATGGCATCACTTCCCTCTAGCTCTCGGCCGCACCACACAGCTTGGTGTCATCAGCAAACTTGCTGATGGTGCACTCAATCCCAACATCCGTGTCTCCAACACAGATGTTGAACAGCACTGGTCCCAGTACCAACCCCAGGAACACCACTTGTCACTGGTTACCTTTGAATGTGACCATCCATCCAGTTCCTTACCCACTGACTGGTCCATCCATCAAATCCATGTCTTTCCAATTTAGAGATCAGGATGTCGTGCGGGACAACATCAAATGCTTTGCACAAGTCCAGGTAGAAGATGTCAGTTGCTCTCCCCTTACCCATCAATGCTATAACCCTATCGTAGAAGGCCACCGAATTTGTCAGGCATGATTTGCCCTTGGTGAAGCCATGTTGGCTGTCACCAATCACCTCCTTATTTTCCATGTGCTTTAGCACAATTTCCAGGGTGATCTGCTCCGATCTTGCCAGGCACAAAGGTGAGACTGACCATCCTGTAGTTCCCTGGCTCTTCCATTTTTAAAATGGGGGTTATGTTTCTCCTTTTCCAGTTGGTGGGACCTTCACCAGCAGGAACATCTTAACCTTATCTGACATATGTGACTAAAACAAGTAATTTTGTATCTTTCTTTTGTATCTTTATCAGCTCTCTGTGGTAGCTATAGGAATTAGCATCTATAGGACATCAACTGTTGATATGCTCCTAAAGAAGCTACTGGAAGATCAGAACTCGTTCCCCAATTTTGAACCTTTGGCATATTGGCAAATGCAATTCAACAACATTGCTGCAGTCACTGTGTTTTTTGTCTGGATTAAGGTAACTGCAAGACAACCTTGTTCTAACACTAGAATGTAAGCTGTATTTGGAGTTTCACGTGATATATTAATTGAGATTTAGTCGTGTTTTGCGTAAAATTGGTCATACAAGTGTCATGGTTTGGGCCAGATTGGCTGATCTGAATGACAGGTGTCCCCTCTCTCCCCCCAAAAGAGAGGAGAGGAAGAGATAAGGCGATTTATAAGCTTAGAATGAACTAAACTACTTTAATGAAGTATGAATATTAAAATAAATAAAAAAGAAATAATGAAATAGATACAATATATGCAAAACCCTATCAAGCTCCCAGGATGATGTCCCCAGCAGGTACTGGGGAAGTCCCAGACTGGACTCGGAAACCGGTGGGAACTGGATTCCAGCTCTGGAGACAGGGACACATGGATTGGGATCAAAGGCAGATGAGCAGAGTCCCTTTTGGACGTTGGCCATTGAAGAAAAAGAGTGTTGACCATTTGATCCCTCAGCTTTTATACTGAGCATGGGGCAGATGGGATGTTGGTCAGGTTTGGGTCACCTTGCCTCTTCACTCCTCCCCACAGGTGTGACCCCTCTACGCTTTTCCGTTTCTGACCTGCCAACAGGGCAAATAATGAAATTAGCTGACCTTGGTTGTTATAGCAATAAGTATAAGCAAGAGCCTCTCTGCACACCGTTCCTTGGCATGAACTGTAAACATTGGTCTGATCACTGTGAGGATGAGCAGTTTTCTCCACAATATGCTGGTAATTTCGGAGATTTAGAAGAGGCCTAGCTAAGATATAAAATTACTGAACAGAAAGTTGGTTCTGTTTTACCTCAGACTGGAACAACAAGAAAGCCAGAGCACAGGCTTAACTTCTTGCATATTCAAAGCAAGGTTGTAATTTGCCACAGGTTTAGTCAGCCCTTGTTTAAGTCTAGAAGATGGAGTCAGTGCTAGTGTTTTGTCACAGCAGACACATAAAGAAATATTTTTATTATTCCTGAATAGATAAGTCAGTAATTCTTACTGGGTACTGTTTTTTCTTAGCCTGGTTTAACTGTGCCCATTTTATCTATTCAAAACTTCTAAATCTTTAGAAGGGTTGGTAGAGCTAGTCCAGTTCATTTGAAAATGATCCATATGACTTTACCTAAACTTAATTTCTCTGTTTTTTTACTGCCTCCTTTCTAGTGATAGTTCTTTTCATGTCTGTACTCATTTTCCTGTCCTCTGTGTGTGTAAAGTATCAGAGGAATGTTTAGTTAATAAACTGTCTAACAGGGGAAAAAGTTAAGACCAATGATAAGTGGGTTTCCAAACAGATGCATAGGTTTATCAAGCAAGTTAGCTAATTTCTTACTGTTTTATAAGACAAAGTTGCATCTAATTTTTGCATCATGGTTTAAGAAATAAAGTTGCTCATTTATAAAAAACAATGGTAAACTGCAAAGTAATAGAATAATGCAGGGTGGAGGGGACCTCTCTGTAGTCCAACCAGTTGCTCAGAGCAAAGTCAGCTGTGAGACCTTCTTTTCTCACATTTTACTACTTCATAGCTAACATCTTCGTTGAAGATAAATAGGCTTTTGGAAGCATTTCGGTAACAGTGCTTTGAAGCCAGGGTGTCAAATAGGAGAGTGAAAAAACAAATAACCCCACACCCAAACAAGAAGTTGGTGTTTTCACAGTATTTTTTTCACATTTCAAGCATCAGTGTTTTTAGGAAGTGATGTATTTCTAAATGTAGATTAACTGACTTTGCAGTCAAATTGAGTAAGGCATCTCACATGCAAAAGGCTAGAGAGTGATTGTGTTAAGAAATTGTCTTCCTTGTCTTTACAGTTGTTGGGTTGTGTTTTTTTTTTCTTTCAACAGCTTTTCAAATTTGTTAACTTCAACAGAACGATGAGTCAGTTATCCACTACCATGTCTCGCTGCGTCAAAGATGTCATTGGCTTTGCTATTATGTTTTTTATTATTTTCTTAGCATATGCTCAGTTGGCCTACCTTGTCTTTGGCACTCAAATTGATGACTTCAGCACCTTCCAGGACTGCATGTAAGTACAAGAATAAAAAAATGCAGGGAATTTCTCAGTACACTGGTGAATGGATTTGGTTGCCCCATCAGAGACCAAACAAATCCCACGATATCCATCTAAACAGATAAGCTGCAGACATAACACTGTTGGTGTAGCTCTGTAGCATATGCATTTTTGATAACATTTTTAGTTCAAAAACTGTCTTTGCTGTGAAATTCTAAATATAGTATATTCTTATCAGTGAACTAAAAGTGGCAAGTTTTGGTTGGTGGAAGTGACATGGGGTTTATAACAGTTCATCACATACCTAGACAAAGCAGTGTCTCTGTCTTCTGTAGTTAACTGATTACGTGCTTACTTGTTTGTAATGCTTACTGAAATGTTGTGTGCTTAATAACACTGTGTTCCTGGTAGTACGTGTAGTTGGTTGACTCACAAATGGAGTCCATTGTAGACAACCAACTAGTAAATTTGTAAGTATCTGCTCGAATCCAGGAGAGAGAGAAGACTTAATATAGGGATGTTAATCAGTTTTTCCTGTATTGATTTCACTGAATTTCACTGAATTTCAGTGAAATTTGGTGAATTTTCAGTGAATTTGGTACAATATAACCTGATTCTAACTGAGGTAAATAGCAAGTTGTTCAGTTATCGAGTTCCCCCTGGCCCCTAACACTGGAGCAGTGTTGCAAGAAGTTCCTTGTAGAGAAGCGGTGGAACTTGAAATATGCTGATGGTGTTGTATGGTGGCAAGCAGACTTGGAGGGAGAGGGCTTGGGTAGTATGTATGTGAGAGGCAGAAGGGATAGGAAAGAGAGGAGTAGGTCTTAAAGCTCCACAATGGTAGTCATTGGTTTGCTCTGCTGCTTCTTGCCCCCGTTATCAGTTCTGACCGAAAGCCAGAAGTGACCACCCTAGTTTTGTTCTCTGTGTGTGGCATCTGCGAGTTTGGTTATGCTTAGAGATGGGCTTGAGGAATTAATATTGCAGTGCCTGATAAAGTATTACAGTAGTGCAGACTTCTCTGCTGCTTATCAGTAAGACTGTTAGGGTAAAATAGATTGAGAATTCTTGCACAGCTCCAAAAAGTGTTTTGTTTCAACTTCTGGATGTGTTTTGTTTTTTAAGATTTACTCAGTTCCGCATCCTTTTGGGAGACTTCAACTTCACAGAGGTTGAAGAAGCTAATCGAATTTTGGGACCAGTTTATTTCTCTACATTTGTGTTCTTTATGTTCTTCATTCTTTTGGTATGTATGCCTTTCTTTATGTGGGGTGGGTAGGTTGCTGTTTTTGTATCTCTTGTTCTTTGATTTCTACTGCTATTTGGGGCTTTTTAATTTATTTATTTTTTTTTATGGTGAGTGTGTAGTCCATGTAGGGGCCTGACTTTTATATGGTCAGTCACTACGCTCTCTCATTTTTTCTTCATTTAAAATAGATTTGCATTGTATGCTTGTTGTCATTCCCGTATAGTGCTCCACGTTGTGGCTTTTTTACTTTATTTTTCATTATTATTTGAAAGAGTTTTTTATTTCTAAAATCTGAATAGTGCCTGGTTGGCATACACAGCAAGCCCGTATCTTTTGGTGAAAAATAGCTGTAGTGTTCCATACAGGCTCCTGGTATATTAAGTGCTCTAGTGTGTGGCTGGCTGTGTTTACAACAGTCTAGTTGATGCGTGCAGCATTCAGCTTGTCTGCTAGAAGAGCCTAACTCATCAGCAGTGCAGCAGCTTTCAGATAGGCAGGTTTGCCTGCAAAGGCCTCTCTTCTATCATCTTCCTTCTTCAGGGCAGAGTCGGGCCCTGTCTTTCTCACCTTCCCAGTGTGCATTACCTGTATGCTTTTTGATAAACAGTATTATAAGAAGCTCAACTTATCTGAGAGGCAGTATGTAGAAGTGATTGTCTGACAAATGAGTATATTGTGAGGAAGTACTTATCTTTTGTATACTCTCTATTGATTCGAGCACTGCATTCATATCACAGTCTTACTAATAATTTATATAACAACATGGAGGGAGGAGACTTCTCCTTTAGAAATGTAGGAGACCAAGTAAATAATGTTGGGGTTTTTTTTGTCAATAAAATTGAAAAGCCCCAGTATCTTCTACCTGAAATTAGTTTTCAGTTAGCTTGGTACCAACATTAATATATATAGTAATTTTGTTTCTGATGATGTCACCAGATGGAAGCTGTTAATGTGAGCAAGAAATCATCAGGTTATTCCCCAAACTGTGTGTCTTTTGGTGATTTGATAAAGGTGGCAAGCATTAAAGCAGGATTTTACTAACCTTACAACAGTACAGCAGTCCTGTGTTGTCACAACTTTTAGTTATTTAATGACCCTTGTACTTGATGAGGCTTGTTATTATTCTTTGAGATGAGGAGAAATGACATGCAGGTATTATTTGTGGGAGAAGACTTCATCTTGGCTATTCACTAGTAAGGAAGCAGAGAATCTGAAGTGTTCAGTGAGATGGAACTGGTGGTCAATCAGAAAATAATATATTGGTCACTCTGGTCAAAGAAGCACCTCAGAAAATCCAGAGGCTAGGGGTTCAGCAAGGGAAAGAAATAATTAGTTTTCCTAAGGGTTAGCGGAAAAGCACTGGGATGTGAAGGCACAGCAGGTTATTCAAAATACTCATTATAATTTGTGTGCTTATTAATATCTGTGCATCCTGTCATTTGGCTGGAATGAAATGTTGCTATAAGCTCCTTGAGATCAGTCTGAGACCTGGAAGCTAAGTTAGGAAAGATGGGCAGAAAGCACCAACTCTTAATGTTGGGCCTCTGAAAGCAAAATAGAGAGTAGTCAAGTTACCTCTTACTTCTCTGGTGTTGGGCAAGAATGCATATATTGAAAGATTGTTCTCCTAAAACATTTTTTTTCAAGTCCATGAGGAAATGCCTTTCTGCATGAGAGGGACACATTGAGCACACCAGTAAATTGAGTAATTCATTTTGAACGTGAATGTCCAGGTTGTAATTCAGTCATGTTTACTCCATGTTCAGCAGGACCCTTTCAGTAATGACAGCATGGCTCAAGTAAATTATATGCTTGGTACAGGGTTAGTGAGACCAATTTTTTCTCTTTTGTCTGAACAAGTGACTGAACTCTTTTCAGAGTGGCCTACATACCAAGTGTCTGATTTTAAGCTTTGTTTGGTTTTATCATTAGTCTGAAATGCAAGCAGAGGTGTAACTATATAAGAGCCTTGTGTTTATGCTGGTTATTCAAGGATGAATAATTAACTTGATTCCTTGGGCATTTTGTTGCCAACCTGTGTTGCCTAAATTAATTCACAGTTGTTATCTGTGAAGGTTTGACCTTGCATGTAGAAGGTCAAACTTAAACAAAAAACGTTAAACAGACATGGTTTATTGCCACTGCTGTGTGTAGGTGTGAACCCTCTCTGGAAAATAATTCTCCAGTCATGTTAGTAGCCGGTAGTCTTGATTAAAAGTTGTTATACTGCAGGGCATCATATTTCATATCTCAAGCTCTGGATGTTAGTGCTTTTTAAACAGCCCACCATTTTCTCTTGGCCCTTTTTAAAAAATTCATGTATAGGTCTGCACGTGAAGGTCATAGAAGTAGTAGGGCTCAGACTTCCTGAAAATTTCAAGTGGGTATTTTCATTTCTCTCATGAACAGAACATGTTCTTGGCCATTATCAATGATACATACTCTGAGGTCAAATCGGATATGGCACAACAGAAGGCAGAAATGGAACTGTCTGACCTTATCAGAAAGGTAAAACTAACATTTTGTTTGTTTGACATCTCATTCCTCACATCTGAACATAAAATGCTATATAAACTGTACAAAGTAAAGCTTTTTTACACATCTCAATTAAAATAATTTAATTTGAGCTGAGTGTAAATTAAATTAATGAAAACTTTCTGCCACAACATATTTTAGTCACCTGAGGCTTTGCGTTGAATCATCAGCCTACTGAGTGTGACATAGGATTTTTCTGCCTACGTCCATACAGAAATATTGAACTGATGGAGCAAAACTGCTGTTTGGTCACAGAACTCAGAATTACCTCATTTCAGGCAAGAAGATGAGGCAAGTCTTGGATAACGTGTTGAGAGTCAGAAAGTTGTACCTGTTTTGTCAGCTTTATTTAAAACTGTCACTTCAATATCAGTAACTGCCATAGGTGTCTTACTGGGACAAAAATACTCCATTCCTGCAGTACAAGTTGAACAATGAAAGCCTTACCTCTAACTACAAAGGTGTTTGTGTGTTGCCCATTAAAATGGTGAAATAAAAGGTGGATAAATTGCAGGAAAGAGGTTCTTGCAGGGCTTTTGGAACACGCTGAATGATAGTGTACACTGGCTGATTTTTGTAATCAAGAAAGTTAATGGAAATCAGGTGTTAACATTTCATGACAAGTAAAACACGAAATTTCACTTTTTACTTTAGGGCTACAACAAAGCCATGATCAAACTTAAATTGAAGAAAACTACTGTTGATGACATTTCAGAAAGTCTGAGACAGGGTGGGGGAAAATTAAATTTTGATGAACTCCGTCAAGATCTAAAAGGGTAAGGAAGCTGTTACTTCTCGTCTTGAATAGTAACCCCAGAGACAAGTGATGCAAATTTCTTTCACTTCTGTGATGTGGCAATTCACTAATGTGAATAAAGAAAACACAGCAGAGTACTTTCCTTTTAGTTAGTGGGCAACAAAGCCTGTGCTTTTCCTGTATCTGATGGAAGGTTTATGGAAACAAACAGATGTGTACAGGTACACAAACTGTAGCATAGGACTGTGGAAAAGGGCAGAAGGGAGGAAGAAGAATAGTCAGTTTGAGATGGAAGAGAAGGCTTAACTAAGGAGGTCTGCTGAGCTCTGGTGCCTGGTGCTGCACTATGGCTAGTGTTGCTGCAGGGGGGTGGCATCCCACACTGGAGCAAGGATTTGGCACTCTGGGGTGCAACCTCCTTGAGATGCTGTGTTGTGGGGGAGGAAGGGTCTGAGGAAGCAGAGGTCTAAGGCCTTTGAGGAAATGGTGATGTTTCTATCTGAGCCACTGCAGGAGTTTGTGAACAGGCAGGAGTCCAAGGGAAGGGAACAAATAAGGATGTATAAAGGGGATGTGAAGGAGCAGGGTGCAGCCTAGGGGAGATTCGTGCTATTAGCAGAAACCTCAGCCCTTACATTTCATTAGTTATCAGTGTTGTGAATTCATAGGCAGCACTGGGATCAGTTGTGTCTTTGGCTTGGGGATGGAAGTTTCTTCAAAGTGAAGTGTTTTTCTAATTCTTGAAGTTTGTTCAGTATTTGAAAAATGGAAAGTAAGGGAACTGTTTTTACTACCTTTCCAGGAAGGGGCACACAGATGCAGAGATTGAAGCAATATTTACCAAATATGACCAGGATGGGGACCAGGAATTGACAGAGCATGAACATCAGCAGATGAGAGATGACCTGGAGAAAGAGAGGGTGAGCTTAGCATCAGGAGTGGTATGCCACCAGCACCATCTGCCAGCCTTCTCCCTGTGCTGTTTGCTGCCCCACAAGTGTCCTCTTGTTTCCCTTCACTTTTGCTCTTATCCCTGGCTATCTGAGCAGAAATGTAAAAAGGCAATGGAGCTGATGGAGGGCAGAAGATCTTAGACCTTGACACCCCCATCCCCCTTGTACCAGTGAAAGTCTTTACATCATCTCTGTCCATGGCTTGTGTTTTCACAAAGGAGGATCTGGACCTGGATAGGAGTTCTCTGCCACGTCCGCTGAGCAGTCGCAGCTTTCCCCGGAGCTTGGACGACTCTGAGGAGGATGAGGATGAAGACAGTGGACACAGCTCCAGGAGGAGGGGCAGCAGCTCTAGTGGGGTTTCCTATGAAGAGTTCCAAGTGTAAGTTTATCCTTCTGAAAGGGATGAATCTGCATGGTGTGTCATCTCTTTTCTCTTTTTTTTTCATTCTTTTTTTCCCCCCATGGGTTTTCTGATTTCAGTTATATAGTGGTCTCTCCTATAACTCAAATTATTATTATCATCATCATCAAAATATTCATAAATATTGTACCATTGGCGGAACATGAGCCAGCAGTGTGCCCAGGTGGCCAGGAAGGCCAACAGCATCCTGGCCTGTATCAGGAACAGCGTGGGGAGTAGGACTCAGGAGGTGATTGTCCCCCTGTACTGGGCACCGGTGAGACCACACCTCAAGTGTTGTGTCCAGTTTTGGGCCGCTTACCACAAAAAAAGACATTGAGGTGCTGGAGCGAGTCCAGAGAAGGGCAACAAAGCTGGTGAGAGGTCTGGAGAACAAGTCTTATGAGGAGAGGCTGAGGCAGCTGGGGGTGTTCAGCCTGGGGAAAAGGAGTCTGAGGGAAGACCTTCTCGCTCTCTCCAACTCCCTGAAAGGAGGGTGTAGCCAGGGGGGGTCGGTCTCTTCTCCCAAGTCACAGGCGATAGGGTAAGAGGAAGTGGCCTCAAGTTGCGTCAGGGGAGGTTCAGGTTGGATATTAGGAAAACTTTGACATCGAAAGGGTTATTAAGCCTTGGACTGGGCTGCCCAGGGAAGTGGTTGAGGCACCATGCCTGGAGGTGTTGAAAAGACAGGTTGACATAGTGCTTAGAGACATGGTTTAGTGATGTTTTTTTATCAGAGTGAGGTTGATGGTTGGACTAGATGATCTTAAAGGTCCTTTCCAACGCAGACAATTCTATGATTCTATGAAAAGTGTTATGTTTTTAAAGTGCTTAAGTCACTCCTTTTAGTAGCTTTCAAGTAATATCTGAACTGGAAATACTTTAGAGAGGATCATGGGAATCAGAAGACAAAAAAATAAATCAAAACAAAGGAACAAAAAACCACAACAAAAAAAACCCCTGTCCTTAAAACCTGTCAGTTGAAAAGACAGAGAAAATAGTCATGCTACAATAATACCAGGAGACTTTTCTGGTTTGTTTTTTTTTTTTTTTAAAGTGGTGAAACCTTGAGATTGTTTTAGGTTCAGGAACTTCATCTGGTTTTTTAAGTAAGATTAAGGTACTTGCGAGTGTGTATTTTGTCTAAAATAATATATCTCCATATTAATTACAGCAACACTAGCTGAATGAAGAATTTGAGTAACTAGAACCAATAAATTTTCATGAGGATGCCCTAAAAGCAGGGAAAAGGAGTGGAATGTGTGCTTTCTTCCCATCTGCTTTACCCCTCTGTTATCTTCTTGGTCTTGGGTACCTTGTCCCTTCCTGGAGAGTAGGACGTATCTGCGGAAAGTTAGATGCATGCTTGAAATAAAATGCTTTCTCATCCTTATCTGCTCTGTGTGTTGACCTGCTAGAATGATACCAACTCAGAAATATCAGAGTCACTGAAGCTCATACTTGTTACCCTCAGACTCATGAGGCGGGTTGATCGCATGGAGCACTCTATTGGCAGTATTGTCTCTAAGATTGATGCGGTGATTGTGAAGCTTGAAGCGATGGAGAGAGCCAAGCTGAAAAGGAGAGATGTGTTGGGAAGACTGTTAGATGGAGTGACAGAGGTAAGAAACCCACCCTCTCCTGTGGTGACAACCTGCATGGCTTGCTTACTGTTGGCACTTCTTCCTACTGCTTGGCTTGGGAGGGTTGAGGAAGTGGTGGTAAAATGAGGTGGGTGCTTCGGCAGCGGCCAAAGGATTTCAGTTTTGTGTTAGGAAAACATGAAATGTTAGGGACGTGATGCAAGTTTCAAACATGACAACCCATCTTTTAGCAGACCTGTGTCACACTGAGACAACAGCACCATTTAAACCCCTGAACTGGGCAGCAGTGGTGTTTGGTACTTGAAGCAGCTGAAACATCTCGTTTATCCCTTGGTATCTGTCAGGATTAATGCAAAGGTTTTTATGGACTAGTCTGTGAGAATGTGGGGGATCCAGCCCAGCAATCCTGTGCAGCCAGCTCATCTTCTCCCATGTTGTTTCTGGGATTGTGTGTGGTGGGTGGTGACTTCTGTCACCAGGGTTATCTAGCTTCTGTTGCCTCCCTTCCCACCCTCTCTTTCTTGAGGACCCTATGGAAGTGGCCAGTGAGACAAACGTGTTATTTCTGTCAGCTTCCTGATGGAGCAAGAACAGCCAGAACAGGGCTGTTCAGCGTGGGCGAGGTGGACTGTCTTGGTGGGTTATGTAGGTCAGACTTGCAGCTGCCCTGTCACAGATAAGGTGTTTGTGGCTGTTACTGTTATTATAGCCATTAATTCTGCTTGATTCTTGAGATGGGTCTTCCTTGCGGATGTGTTCTCCTCACTATATTTTGTATTTCTGGACGTGGACTTAAATACTAGAAACTGTAGTACAAGTTGGGCTTTGATAAGTGAAGGTGACAACCTGGGTGTTGCATCACTGGAAAGAAAATAATTTACTGCAGTAGCTGTGTTTCTTCATGAACCTATGGAAATACTTGAGTGGCGTAACAATGTCTCGTGTTTGCACAGGGTTTTGCTTAGACTGGAGTTGGGAAGCTGCGCTTCCAGCTTCTGTCTTTTAATCTGTTTAGGATGAAAGACTGGGTCGTGACAATGAAATCCACAGGGAACAAATGGAGCGACTTGTGCGAGAGGAGTTGGAGCGATGGGAATCGGATGATACAGCATCCCAAATGAGCCATCGGTTGGGAACACCACTTGGAGTGAATGGCCAGCCTCGGTCAAGGAACTCTCGGCCGTCTTCCTCCCAGTCAGATGGTATTGATGGGGGAGGAGGAAATGGGGGGAATAACATCCACATGTAGGATTAACTTGGTAAGTGATTCTAAATATTTCAGGGCAGTATTATGCCAGCAGACACACTACTACAATGTTTCCGAGTATGAGGTGATCATCCTGATCAGCCTGCTAAGGACAATTTTTACTGGTGGGCAAAAGTAAATATTCTCTTCATAAGGCATTTTCCAGACCTGTGTAAGCCATGTGTCATGATCAAGTTACCAACAGTGAGACTGTCAGTCTTGGAAATGAAAATACAGGAAACAGAATGGAAACCAGGTCTGACAAAATCTACCTGGACAGAATTTTGGTTCCATACATGTATTATGGGGAACACTTTAATGAGGGCAGCAACTTCAGAAAAAGTAATATGCTGTGGCTAAAACACTCAAATGAAAGTTTGAGTTTTCTGATTTCTGTTGGAAAAAAGGACTTTAAAATGCTTTTATAAGCAATTTCAAAAATAAGGTGGCATCAGTTTGTCTCATTCATTATAGCAACTGACATTTTTCAAAGAAAACAGAACTTTTTTTTTTTACTTCAAGTTTCTGCCTATTTTTCTGAGTTATTCTTGGTGTGCAAACAATTTAATTAAGTTAAAATGTTCAATTTTTCCTGTTTCTGAGAAATATGATGTTTTTTCAAATGGAAGAAACTGCACTTAATTTGTAAGACTGTAAATTACATTTTTCCATAATAGAAACTGTACACATTACGTGTTTTTGCATTTCATTAGCCTTTCAAAAATTATTTTGAGAACTGTCTCTTACCCAACTAACAGAATAATTTTCAGCTTTGTTCAAAGTAGCCATTTTCTAACGCTGTGTTTTCATAATCTAAGTGTTCCTGGGATAAACTTTCCACAGGTTCTTTAGTAAATATGGTTACTTTGCAGAAAATATATTATTTAAAAGCACACAGAATTGAAAAACATTAACTCTTCCTTGGATGTGACAGGGAAGAGGACAGAGAAGTTGGGAAAATCAGAGTATAATCACAGATTTTTAGTATTTCATTTCCTCTGTTTTCCGTGTTGTAGAAGCTTTGGTTTTGAAAGGAGATGCAACACTGAAATTACGATGGTTTCCTATAGAAAGCATCGAGGTATAGTGCTTGTAATTTTGCTGAGCCAACATGTTTCCATACGTGGAATGCGAGTTTAGGAGGGAGGTTGTCAATTGGGCTTTTTTCCTGAAGTTGTCCTGTAAAGACTATCAGTTGATGTAAAGAAAAGTTGAAAGTTACATAATCAAACACATCTTAGCTACAGTAGGGTGCACAGAAGAAAAAAATGCATATTTAGCAAAGTATAAGTAGCATGTATATGTTATGTTGATGCTTTTTATTTCAAAAATGCCAGGGGTTAGCACCTTTTCTTGTGGTAGTACTGCTTGGGCAAAGCTTATGCTTTGCATACGATCTCTCAGCTGCATTGCCGGGATGTGCAGTGACTCAGAATGCCTTGCTAAAACTAAATAGGCTCCATGTCTTTCCCTATTTTTAAGTGTATGAGAAACCGTATGCACAGAAACTTAATGTAAGGGGAAGCAGGAGGAGGTTCATTGTGGAGACTGGAATTTATTTGTCTCAAGAATAGAATGACGTGAGAAAGCAGGTTGTGATTCTTGTGAAATATTTTTTTCTTTCTGTGGGGGTTATTTTGTCCTGCACAAGGTAGAAATTCATGCTCTTTCACAAGAGGCTCCGTCAACTTCCCAAAACAGCATGCAGTACAGTGGTTAGGGCATTTGTATGAAACAAGAGACACTTAGACTAAGCTCTATCTTGCCTTAATTGAAAGTTTTTGGACCTTAGAAACCCTTCTGAGGAAAGCTTTTCCGTGTTGAACTAGCATTTCTGACTTCAAACAAAAAACTCCGTAAGCTGTACACATGACCACCTGGTGTGCAAGGAAAAGAGCCAATACAATAGAAAGCAATTTAAGTATACATAGCCTTGTCTTTATATTCATATCCAAAATGTGATCAACAGCTTAAACTTGGAGGCATGCTGACTAATTCCATGTGTGCGTAACATGTAGTTGATGTTGGGTTTCTAGGGTCAAAGGTTGCCTAAATGCAAAGATAGTACTTAAATAATCAAGTACTTAAAATCAATGACCCAACTTGAGTTGTCAAGCGATCAGCTGGAACCTTACTAAGAATACCTTGTGTTAAGGCTTGTGCCTATGGCTGGTGAGGAGGTTTATGGCAGCAGGGGCTGGGGGGCGTGCAGAAATGATCTGTTGGTCATCTGGGACCATCCGGAGGGGGATGAGAGCAAAACTACATCCGTGAGTATGGTTTTAAATAGGTTTCCTGTAAAAACATATCTTTCAAAATGTAAGTTTAATCACGTGTTTCATCTTTTATTTGTAGTATATGATTATTATGAAAATGTTTGCATTCATAGCTGTACTTGTTGAGGTGTATTTCTGTAACGTGTCGTTACTTAATAACAAACTTCATTTTGAAGTGCAGTAAGTTTTCATGGGGTACCCCTGTGTGTTGACAGTGGGTCTTGCAGTAAGTGCATGGCCACTTGATAAATGTTATAAACATTTTATTATTTCATTTTTCAACTTTAGATTATAATATCATTTTTCACACTACAAAAATAAAGTTTTTGCATAATAATGTACAGTGTTTGGTCTTATTAGGAAGCTGTTAATTATGCAAGTCTTCTACAATGATCAGGAATGTATTGATCTGTAAAACTGAGCACTTTACTTCCTAATAAACGTTTTGTATAATCTATCGTACACTTGGTTTGTTCATAATGGAACATTAAGAATCCTACATTTTATTTGTATGTGTTACTTCTGTCTCATACCTTATTTTCAGATTACCTAATAATGTAAAAAGGACTACAGGGTGTAGATGAACGGAGAGGACTGGGATGATCCTACTTCTCCATTGCCCAAACAGTACTTTTTTTAACACTTTTTTTCAAGTTTGTGCAAAGGCACAAGTCTATTTTCTGCTATTTCAGTTAGCAGCTCCAACTGCTGGTAACACTGTCCCTTTATTACTTTACAGTTGCTGTCTAAGTTAACTTCTCTACTCTCTTTCTCCCCTTTATTTTTTCCCTTTGCTTCAGGGAATCCCACAGTATCTGGAGGGTTGATGGTCCTTGGACATTCCACGCTCACATGTAAGCCCCATAGTTCTGTCTGGGCAGCTATCTCACCCGTTCAAAAGTATAACATATTAATGAAAATTAAATGCTTAATGTAAATCCATCTTAGTCTTTGATGAAATACATACATACTGAGTTTATGAAGTATATTTAGCCTTTAGTGTGTTATAGAAGTCACAGTGTGTGGGAAGTGGAAACCATTTTTTATTTAATACTGTGTGCATGCTGAAGGGTCGCTGACATTTGAAAATTTTTTAAGGACGTGCAGTTTGAGATACATATTTGAAATAAGAATGACATAATTCTTCCAAATCCTCCAAGCATCACTTGCATGCCTTGCATATTCATATACTTTTCTCCAGTAAATCAAAACAAGAAAAAAAAAAAAGAGAAAAAGGGAAGAAAGTTAATTGCATGCTAAAATATCTGCAAGCAATTGTCACTTGTGTATTTAGGCACCAATGGGGCTTTTTTGGTTCCCTGCTTCTATAGAACATTCAGTGTGAGTGAAGAGGGTGGCAATTGGAGGTGGAAGAGTCCTCCTCCAGAGTCTGTTCTGCAGGCACTTTTCGGGAGAAGGTTTATACTGTTTGTGTCCCTGGCCCCTCCCCATACAGCCTTCCAGAAAATACATTCCAAAAGAAAATAGTTTGCAAAACAAACCAGCCTTCTACAGTGGAGAAATGCAAAAAAGCTGTGAAACTTTTTCCCTTTGTGGAATCTTAACAAAAATAGCAGCTTGGGTTCTGACTTGTTTTCAGGAACGTAGAAGTGCATTTTTTATTTCTAATTTCACAGTAAGTTTGTGTGCCTCCTGTGCCAAAATGGTCCTTCCAGGTTTTAAGCGCTGATTGTGCCAAATAGGCACAGAAAGGTAGAGGGACAGCTCGATGGCTTGGGTGATAGACTGACATTCAAGAGTTGACTCTCTTTTATTTTCGATGGTTTGGGTGATAGACTGACATTCAAGAGTTGACTCTCTTTTATACACGTCACCTCACCCCGACACGTTAAGACGCAAATTCAACCGGTCCCAGCTTGGTTCAAAGGACAGTGGTGCTTAAGTGTCAGTAATGCTAAAACAGCAGTGGGATCACAATGAAGTTGTACTTGGACTGAAGATTTCTGGCAGCTCCTCTGCTTTGCTTCTATGCTAAGAAACACTCAGGGAGACTGAAACTGCATCCCAGGAAGCAAAGAGCAGGCCTAAAGGCAGCAAACTTTTGTAACAGGCCTGAATTTGGACTCTGTGTGAGAGCAGCTTTCTGGCTCCAGGGTATTTAGGAGCAGGCTTACCAGCAGTGGGGTGCTAGGAAGAGAGCGAGAAGTTTTTTGGGATGGGGAGTGTACTGGGTTTGTTTGGCTCTCAAGAAGTTTTTAGTAATAAACTCAACATGCTCAGATTGTCAAAGGACTGATGGTGACAATTTGCATCAGCTACAGTTTTACTGGTGACACTTTGACAAAAGTTTAGATCAGTAAATTAATTCATTTTCAAAGCCTTGCAATGAGTGAAAAATCGATTAGGAGATATTCACAGATATTAACAATGAAATGTTAATTGAAAGACTATTCAGACAAACCAGATCAACAATATTAAACTTTTATAGAGCTCGAATTTGTTTAACTTCTGTCCAAATTCTGAGACTTCTACCACTGCAAATCCAGAGTAACAACCAACTCCAGTGAGCATCACGACCGGAGCTTCTGGGCAGTCTCCTTCCCCAGCTGGCAGCACCCAGCCTCTTTGTTCCCTTCCAGCCATCTCCTGACGCAGGAGGAGACAGCCCAGGATCTGAAAAGCTCTCTGCTGAAGTAGGTTTGTTGTATAGAAAAGGCATGCAGCTATTCTGGATTTAAAACTGCTATATGTTACTGAGCTTTGAATACTATTACTGTAAAGGTACTGGTCATGCTTGGCCAATTAGTCCTTCCAAGCTGGGTAAATGTCAAGAGGAGATTCCTTTAGCAGGAGTTCCTTTCCCAATATGACCCATTTCATCACAGTAATACTTACCAAGGACTGAGGTGGATGTACTTGAGACATGGCTTTAGAAACTTGAGCACAGTTAATTTGCCTAAAATTTGTGACGCTTCTGCCCTTTTTTCTAAGCAGGCAGCAATTCACCATGCAAGAACCTCCAACTTCAATTTCAGAAAAATGATTGCTTTGTCATTGTAACCCCCAGAAAGCAGGGCAGAAATCCTTGCCATGAGTCATGCACTTCTCATGGTAAGAAATTGCCCTTTCTTTCAATGTTCTTGTGTTAGAGCTGTGTAATAAAGGCCAGTTGGATTTCACTTAATTTAAAACAATTAAGTGAGGGGAAAAACAGGTTTGGCAAGGGTTTTAACTGTCTAATTGGCTGTTAATTCATGCTGAGAAAGCAATAGGAGGGAGACTCAGTCTGGGGAAGAAAGAGCATTTATGTTATGTTCAGAAGTCTTTTCCCTTTTTTGATAGCTAGTAGTGAGATAAATGTACCCTCTACCTGACAGAAGGCGAAATCATTAAAAAAAGAAGGCAAATATTTGGATTTAAAGAAGCTGTTTCTGTCTGCAAGAACCATAATCACACAGATACAGGTTATTTAGAAAATAGAAGTGTGTCACGTGGAAAATCCTGGGAAGCAATTCCAGGAGTCTTTTTTGGTGTTGCTGCTGTTTACATCATCGGATTGTACTCTCTTGTACTGTGCCATAGCTTTTGTGTAAAAACACACAGCTAAACGCAAAGCAAGTGATTGTACTTTACTGTCAATGTGCAAGAGGCAGTTGATGTTTATGAAAAAGTCGACATTAACTGCTAATGCTATTATCATAAATGTTAGAAAACCACTGCTCCTTTTTTTTCCAAAAAGGGTGGTTTCTTTTGGGAGATTATGTGAATAAAATGTGCAGAAAACCTAGCACTATTAGGCCGCAGTGAGGTATACTGAAATTTTTCATCCAGGAAAGAAAAATTTCAATACTTGTAATATTTATCAGCATCCCAGAGAAAATCTGCAAACAGAAAATATGTAACTACAGATCCGCAAGAGGGATTGTTTGAAGAGGTTTGACTCACCATGGCCTAGTGCCAGTGCGTGTCCAGAAACCATTTTTAGCACATTACCTGAGGGCCTGTCTGCCCTCATACAGAGGAGGGTGTCGCATCCTAAGCGCTTGACTCAGTGCCCACTAGGTCAATCGAAATACAGTCAGTGCCTTAAAGGTGGCTATTTCACAATTCTGGAGAGTGAGGGAATAATTGCAGAGTTGCATTATTTGAAGAAGAGAAGTGCCTAGAATATTGGCACGGCAGCTTTCTTGAGAATGAAATGGCTTGCATAGACAGCATGACTCAAACCCCTGGGGGGCAAAGAGTATTTCTCTCTGAATATGAAGGAAATACATGAGGCTGGAGAAGCATGATTTACTCTTTTATTTAGTTTAACAGGCTAGGTTAGGACTTAGCGATGTTTGGATTTCTGCAGCAGGAGTGTAGTCAAAAACAGGGAGGGGGGAGCAAGAACTGATAGAAAGTGTATGGGTCCACAAACACATTTTGACCTGCCTGTTCTTGGGTTCATGAGCTATGTGGATTAATCAGTATGTCTCATGACTTCTTTCACCCTCGTTTTGTGATTGTTTCAATTCTTCGGTTGTTTGTCAATTCTTTTTGGATAAGGATGGTTTTCAACAGCATGTTAGCATGTCAGAAGTTGTGCAGCCTTGGTGATACGGTTGTGAAGTGCTTTCATCAAAGAGCTAAGTGTAAAATAACAGACTGCAGAAATGGTAACTAAGCCTGAGCATCAAAGACAAGTTTTCCTCTGCACAAGGCACCTTTGCCCTTTTGACATGCTCTTTTTTCAAGTATTAAAGGCATCAGGTTTGCTGTGTAGTTAGTGTTACAGCATTGTCAGATATTGTTCCAAATAATATTGCAAACATACTGCAAATTTCCAGGGGGTTGCACTGAGTTGTTTCAAAGTATATGTTAGAAATTATTATTTCAAGTAATCTAATTGTGTGTCATATCAAAGGTGCAGGGGAAGAAACTGAAAAATCTGTCAGTGCTCACAATCATAAAAAGAGAATAAATGTTTATTAGGAGATTTAGCATCTGCGTTTTGTCCAGTTGCTTTTGCTAGAGCCATTGAACTGGCTGTATAGGTGTTAGGATGAGAGTAATCACCATGTTGAAGGCAGCTGCAGCTTTGACTTAAAAACTTTAAAATCAAAGCGTTACTCAGTCAATTACAGCAAATGGAGCATTCATTACAAGGAAAGAGAAATTACTTTCAGTTACTGGCACTGAAAATATAAAAACCTTACTTTTTGTAGTGCAAGTAGTAAAATTTCAAGTGGTAGCTTGTAAGATTTTTGTTACATAAAGCTTCCTTCAAACTAATCAATTCAAACGAATTATATTACCTCTTTAGAAAGTGAAAGCCTTCAGCTTGTGATTTATGTTTAATTATTTTAAAGTTGTTCAGATGGAGGATTTAAAAGAAAAAATTTTAAACTATATTGAATAATTTCACATAAAACCTAAACGTAAGTAAGTCTTAAAGTTTCCTAGAGTCCCCATTAAATCCCTTACTGTTAAATTTAAGCAAACTGAAACAGGAAT